GACTAAATAAGGGACTGTAGCACAGATAGCTGACTTTGCCACTGAATTATATTAAGATTATGAATAAAATACAAGAAACCAAAGAAGATATTTACATTAGATTTAAGCACACATGTAGATTTGAAAACTTTATAAGACTACAAATTCTCATATTTTATCAATATATGAAATGTTCCATGAGCCTTTGCTGCCTGAGCAAGTGTACAGATTAAAAACACAGACAAACAAAATATGGGCCACTGCACTGGCTCTTGGTTTAATCATAGAAAGTAAAAGCACTTTACTTAAGAAGCATTTCTTCCATTATATTATTGCATTTGGCCCACAGCCTTTGGGTAGATTTTCATTTTGGCCCTCTGAGGGAATAAGTTTGGGCACCCCTGCCCTAAAGTATTTTTTCCCCAAAAAAGTTAGCCACTCAAGTAAATGTAAGTCTGAGTAAATGTAACTAGTTACTACCCAACTCTGCAACCAACTTATTCATTTCAGCATTATTTATTTTTTGTTTTGGACAGTTTCAGTCCTCCACAGTTTAAACTGCTTGAATCTCCAGGTGAATGTCCAACTCGAAAGTGTTTGGGGAAAAGAGACACGTTTTTTGACTTTATCATATTTAATGTTCTAAACTAGCATAAGGATCCCGACAGCCTATTGTATTAAACAAAGTAAAAGTAATTTTCAGGTTTTTCGTTCTCTGAGAACCATTTCATCACTTTTGCTCTATAGAGGAGAGAAAACCATAAACTACACCCATACCCCCACAGTGCGTCTGTAAAATGTTTCCGTTTCCGGTGCAACACCGGAAGAGACCGTCACTTCCTGTCAGAGCATCTGACGTGTCTAAAACAGTTTTCCACCGGCTTTGGGTTTTACTCGGGGGATATTTATTATACGTATTATTGTTTTCTGGTAAGAATCGAAGTTTTCACCACCAGTTAACATTTACTCCAAGGTTAAAATAGCGTTTACTTTTCGCGGGCTTCCGTTTTACCTCACTGCATCTTTTACTGTGTGTTTCCTCATTAAATCCAGATTCGTGGTGACAAGATGCTGGATTTCTTCACCATCTTCAGCAAAGGGGGGATAGTGTTGTGGTGTTTTCAGGGAGCCGGGGTCACTGAGTCTTTCACGGGCCCAGTGAACGCTTTGATCCGCTCCGTGATCCTTCAGGTGAGCCACAAACGAGTGTTTTTGTGTCGGATTGTCAGACTGTCAGCACGACTTAGCTAATGCTAAGCTAATGCTAACGGTTAGCTTCATGGTAAAAGTAGAAGTAAACAAACTTCTTTTAGGTTTTAGAGAACGAAGAACTACCACATCTTGCCGAGTTTTTATAAAACTGGTATAACAGCTTACTCGTGTTATTTAGGCCACGTTTATAACAACATGTTGAGCTTGTGTTTATGTCAGCTGCTTTTTTTACCCACTTCTCATAGGAGCGTAGTGGGAACAATTCGTTTACCCACGAAGCTCTGAATCTAAAATACAAGCTGGACAATGAGTTCGAGCTGATTTTTGTGGTAAGTCAGTGAAGTGTACAATTCACCAATTAAAATATAATAACTGAGTGAGGAGTGTGTGGTCAATTATAGTCCACAAGTCACAAATTATTTTTATAAATTCATGAACATTTTTCTTTTACCTCCTGTCTGACTAGGTGGGATTTCAAAAGATCCTCACGCTGACGTATGTGGACAAGTTTATAAATGATGTCCAACGTCACTTTAGGGATCTTTATAAAAATGAACTGGAGCAAAAGGGTGCCATGAAGCTTCTTAACAACACCTTTGAGTTTGGGGATGCCTTCAGTGAGCTCCTTAGGTAAACACACACACACACAAATATATATCTGTGTTTCAGAGCAGATTTATAGTAAAAGAGTACATTTGTAATGTGTTACACGGACATCAAATGCCACAAACGTCTGGCTAATGTATTGTACAGGGTTCATGCAGGGTCTTAAAATGTCTAAAATTTGAAAATCAAAATTTTAGGCCTAGAAAAAGTCTTAAAAATACCCAGATTTTCATCCAAGGGCTTAAATTTTATTTCGTCAAGTCTTAATTCTTTTACTTTCGATCATTCCCGAGAAGCGTTGGCTGCATAAATAAACAGAGTAAAGCGCTGTAAACAGAGGTTGACTCAGTCTGTCTTCATGAAGTGCTAAGTTTGCTGCTGGTCTTGGTACGTGGTTAAACTACAAATCCTGTGATAACTGCAGGCAAAAAACGGCACAGTTTACTTCCATGTTTTCGACCTTTTTGCAGCTACAGTCCCCTTAATACGGCGGCTTGTTCACCTGCCCAAAAAAACAAAAGTTTAGTCATGTCCACTGCTTATTGTTTAAACATGAGAAAGTGTTTCCAATGAGACTTGGCTGGATGCCAGTGATTTTTACACAAGTTGGAAGTGGTCCACATCAGTCGATATGAAGGTCTCAGATATGATCGTTTCATTAAAATAATTTAGTGTTCTTGTATTAAAATTAAATATTATTTAATAGTTAAACTGACAGCAATAAAAGGCTTCCATGTTGCGATTTCTGGGACCATTAGAATGTTTCTGTTAATGTGTCTATTTGGTCTTAAATGTCAGTCATAATGGTCTTAAAAAGTCTTGAAAAGTTTTTAAGTTTAACTTACTGAAACCTGCATGAACCCTGATTGTAGTGAGCCATATTATCAGTTTTTTATCAAGACTACTAACACCGAAGTGTTAAAGATACATCTGTTAGTCTAGTATACGTGTTATAAAGTCACTTAACGAGGGCCACAAAATTTAAAGGTAATACTTTAAATTTGAAATAGTTTAATAGTTTCACTTTGTGTCACTGGATCTAGTGCAGTCTGTGTCCTGTTATCTGATGATGCCTTGCTTGGATGCATCATTTTTTTGTGTCAATACCTGCAGTAGAAGTTGGGAAAAGTGTATGGTTTATTATAATGACGCTTATTTATGTGTCTCTGCTGATCTGATTACAAGTGGACAGCTTTATTTTTTAATCTCTTTATATTTTGCAGCAATCAGGACCTTTTCATAATTCTATTCACCATCTGTTGATCCCTCTGTCWGAGGTCCAGTCACTGGGGTCAACGAGTCAGGCAGGGTAATCCAGACCTCTGTGGCGTGGTTCAATTCAGTTTATTTATAAATAATTGACAATTCACAAAAGCCATTTCTGAATCATGAATTAAATTGAATTACACATTCCAACCCAAGAATACAGTCAAATCAGTATATTACAGTAATTATATTACATTATAGCAGAACGTGATCATGGTTAACAGGGTCAAAGCCATGTAGTAATAAAATAATAAACATTTGAAATAGTCATTTATTGTTGTAAGTCCAGATATTGTTTATGTAAATGTTAGTGGAATACAGCACAAAGTATTGAATCAGATTCTGTCTGTTACATTCTGGTAGGCGCTCCCGCTTTACGCTAAAGCTGTAAAGTCTTGTATCTGAACAGCCAATGAGAGGTGATGTTACTCAAACTGACAGGAAGCACAGCAAAATGCACAAATCTAAACATTGTTTACATGTTAACAACATGGCACAGTCGCATGGAAAATGATGTAGCTTAGGCCCTGATGGCTTTCCATGGGGTCCACATGCCGGGGGGGTGGGTGGGGGGGAACCAGTGTTCCTGGTTGTTTCCTCTTGTGATCAGATCACCACAGGTTCATTATTAGCACTTGTTGTAAATAACAGTGATGTTAATGATGCTCCCCTTAATCATTGTTCGGTCTTCTCCTGACGTAAATCAACTATTTGAACACCAGAATGGCAGAGGAGAGCAGTAAAAGCCGAAACCCCGTCCCCATGAGGTCCTTTAAGGACTCCGAGAAATCCCAGAAAACTGTGAAGTCCATGATTGAGACAAAGGGTGGAGACAAGAGCAAGGAACAGGGGGGCAAAAAGAATAAAAATGCCAAAAAGGAGGGTAAGTGCTGCTCTTGATGATCCAAAAAAAAAGGCAAATTTTAAATGTTGGCATGCTTTGGTTGTAATATCAGACAATGGATATGTAATGTTTTCCAGCTCCTGCCGTTGAGCCCGTCAAAGTGGAGCAGGTGAAGACTTCGCCCACTGGCCAGAAGAGCATAGTGAATGGTAACCAGGGCTTGACTCCTGAGGAGATCATGCAAAGAAATAGAGAGAATTTTTTCCGCAAGCGTACGATGGGACCTTCTGAAAAACAAAAGTAATGCAGTTGATAGTTGTACCTTCATACTCAGCTGACACAAAGTATCACAGCAGTTATAATTTTTTTTTTATATTTGTACTTGCAGCACAAAGTCCCCGAAGCCTCAGAAGCCAAGAGAGAAACAAAACCGTGTTTGGGACAACGCTGGCAGCAGCACCAAGGAGCTGGATTACAGCGACAAGAACGGAGCTGCTTCTCCTGGTGATGATGAGAAGAATCTGGAGGCACAAACTGGCCCTGTACGTACGCGTTCTGCTAAACCTCGAGAGGTTCTCCTGCTGCAAAGTGAACTGCGTTATTTACGTCAATGAAGAGGAAGTTAAAGGTCTTGGATGTGTTTCAGGAAATGCAGGTGAGCTCCATGAAGGGAGACCTGCTGTCTGTGGACTACGAGTCCAGTGAGGAGGGGGAGATGGAGGAGGAAGAGGAGGAAGAAGAGGGAGTGGCTGTCAGTGAAACAAGCAAGACAAGGTAATGTAGCATTTCTAGTCTAGATCAGTGGTTCCCAAAGTTGGGGTCCTGAAAATAATTTTTGATTCAATTATACAAAAAAATGACAACTAAGAACATTTTTCCCTTTGTTTTTACAAAATAATAAGATTAGTATACTTAAAATGGACAAAAACGGCGTAATAAATATTGTTACTATGCTCTTGTTTATTTGACATGAAAACAATGTTTATCCACCGACAACAGCTGGGGGCACAGGTCTCTGTTACTGGTGTTTTGTGGGTGAAAGGCTGAAAAGTTTGGACACCCCTGGTCTAGATCATGGGTGTCAAGCTCAGTTACACAAGGGGGACAAAATTCAAAACCTGGTCCAAGTTAAGGGCCAATTTCTCTCAATATTTATTGAAAAAATATGTTGTTTAACTAATTATAGAAACACAAATTACCTTTTCCAGATTATATATTTTGTAGCATTTAGAACATATGTAACCTAACAAAGAAAATGATCAAATTTGACAAAAGACACTTCCTTACTTAAATCTTACTCTATATCAACTATTTGTTTTATTACCTCCGCCGAGGATGTAATGTTTTCAGTCGCGTATGTCTCTGTCTGTCGGTCTGTCTGTGGATGGCATAACTCAAAAACGTGTGGACGGATTGTCATGATATTTACACCACATGTTCATACTAGCACACGTAACACACCATTAAAATTTGGTGATGTTTCAGATCACGATGCGGACACAGGATTATTTTAATTCGAGTGAATCAGCCAGAAGTCGCGAGCTCCCCCAGCCCTGCACAGAGCTTCAGGAACGTGTTGCTAGGTTACGTGAATAACAGAGAAGACGCGGGCGCAACCGAGCCGTACCTGGTACCGGCCCACGAGCTGAACCACTGGTCCCCCGCCCGTCGTCTGCGTGCGGTGGTTCACTTCAGCCCCTGAACCACCGGCCCTCTGACCTGCGTCTGGGCCGGTGGTTCAGTCCGTGAACCGACCCGCAGGCTGGAGTGAACCACCGGTCTGACGCGTGTGATTCATCTGCACAGGGCGAGCTCGACATCAAGGAGCGACAGGTTCTGGGGCTCTGATGTTTTTCTGGATTCATTGTGTTCTAAACTATGCCATATCAAATGACTTCTCTACCTCTCCTTAGCACGGGTCAGGCCGATCATCCCACACAGCTGATCGCGCTGCAGGGCGCCACCTGAGCTGACGATGAAGAGAGATCAGAAAAACTAGTCCCAATAACCCCGGGCGTGTTGCTAAAACAAACAGTGGCGGTTATTAAAAACTAAAAATTCACAAAATAAGAAATGCCTTGTCCCTATTAGTGCTGCATAAATTAAATCTCTTGTCTCTCTCATCCAGCAGAGAGATGCAGCTGCTCTAACAGGGCCGAGCAGCTTCAAACAGAAAACTTCTCCCATAAAGCTCAGCCTGACAACAAATCAGCTGCTTACCTCAGAAGACCAATTTGAAAAGTCTTCCAGCTACATCTAACAGAGATGCGCAGTGCTGCAACTCGTCATTTCACTGTGGAACATCACCTGTCAGTCACCAGGGGCACAACAAGTGGGGGTGGCCACGGGGGGCTGTGCCCCACCAGTTTTAACCTCGAGTCCCAAGCTTTGTGCTTATTTAAATATTTCCCAGCTAAATAAGATTAGTAGACCCTTATAAATATAAAAGTTTTTTTTTAAAAACTAAGAATTAAAAATATGAATATATATATTTTACTTAAAATTTAAAAAAAGCTTAAAATAGTTCGTCTGAAAAAAGACACTTAGCATAAAATAAATGTCCTCAATATCAGGATGAAGCTTTTCATGAGGTTAGAGGCATTAAATAAAACATTTTAAAGCTATATATATAACTGGACTTTTATTTTGAAACAGTAGATGTTTCTCTTCCCATCAGGGAGGCTTTGTCAGTTGAAAATATTTGGAGTGGGAGTTTTAGAGCTTCATGAAGGTCTATAGCTTAGAACGCAGGATAGAAATCTGTCCCCAAACTGGACCATGATGCTTTGCGTTAGGCAAAGATGGMGGTATCCGCGAAATACTCCATTGCAGGGTGGGGGAAATTGGTCTTGGTGGAGGTTTGCACTCTCCGAGYGCTTCTAGTTATTACTTAGAGATAGGTTTAATCACAATATAGCATATCCATTAAAAGAAAAAGAAAACTCGTACTAAAAATCCACCTATTTGACTTTAAAGTAAGAAATGAATACAGAAACGGATAAAGTTGATTCTCTGTTGCTCTTTATACATCAAATCAAAAATTACTGAAAACGTCTTATAAAATGTTCATGTAGTTGGCCTTTTGTCATGAGAAGAGTGCACTAAATGCATATAATAAAACCCTAAAACTATTTTATAAATGAATGAAATATTTTATTCATTTCTTAAAAAGAAAATAAATTATATGTAAAATAAAAGAAAAAAAATATACAAAAAAGAAAAGAAAAATAAGTACAATCACAAATAAAGTGAAATGAAGGGCAGCAGAAAGAAGAAAAAATATATCTGCCTTTTTTACCCCCAAGAATAAATACAGACAATAATCAACAAATAACAAATTTAAATTAAAGTATTACCTTTGGGACCACATAAAATGTTAACAAGGGCCAGATTTGGCCTGCGGGTCTTGACTTTGACACATGGTCTAGAGGGCATCAGAAGTTTGTCTCAAATGTAGGTAGGTAGCTGAACAAACCCTTTTTTTATTTTATTTTCAGTCCCAAAAAAAGTGGTGGCTTTGGAGGAATGTTTGGGATGTTGAAGGGTCTGGTGGGCTCCAAGAGTCTGTCTCGGGAGGACATGGAGCCAGTGCTGGAGAAAATGAGGGACCACCTCATCGGTACGACTTCCTGTCCCCTCTCCACACACCGTCTGAATTCTGCAGCGTTTCACTGTTCGCTGACTGTCGCTTTTTTTCCTTTCCGGTCTCACAGCGAAGAATGTAGCAGCCGACATCGCCTCCCAGCTGTGCAACTCTGTCGCCAAAAAGCTGGAGGGGAAAGTCATGGGCACATTCACCAGTAAGTACACTTCACAGCCATTTACCCTTCTGAGAACTGTCAACACACTGGGAAAAAAAAGGGAAGGCGATTACAACAATGTATTTTGCCAACACTGGCTGTAAACACTGAAACAGGACCTTCCACATAGTGTTATTTTCCCAGAATGCCTCAAAAATGAAGGCAAAAGTTACTGACGTTCCCACTTGGCAGATTTTTGATGGCTTTTAGGGGTGTGTGAGAAATCTTTGTGATGTTTGTGTGTTTAGCTGTGGCCTCAACAGTAAAGCTGGCCCTGCAGGACTCACTGGTGCAGATCCTGCAGCCGAAGCGCCGGGTGGACATCCTGAGAGACGTCATGGAGGCGCAGAGCCAGCGCAGGCCCTTCGTCATTACCTTTTGTGGCGTCAACGGAGTCGGAAAGTCTACGAACCTGGCAAAGGTGAGTTTGACTGGTTGTGATGGTTTTACCTGGTTTCTGGAGTCCATTTTGGGGAGAGGGATGGCCGGATTTCCCTTCTGGGCTTTTTGATTCCACAACCCAAAGGAGAAGTGGGGAAAAAAGAATGAATGGGTGATAACTTGTTTCTGCAGCTTTATGGTCTTGTTTTTGGTCCTGTAAGTCGGACTCCTCTCTCTGGGTCCAGATCTCGTACTGGCTGATAGAGAACGGTTTCAGTGTGCTGATCGCAGCTTGCGATACGTTTCGTGCCGGAGCGGTGGAGCAGCTCCGCACTCACCAGCGCCGCCTGAACTCTCTGCACCCCCCAGAGAAGCACTCTGGACACACAATGGTCCAGCTCTACGAGAAGGGCTACGGGAAGGATGCAGCCGGGATCGCTATGGAAGCCATTTCCTACGGTACAACTTTTCCCCCTCAGAGGCTCTCTTTTTTACGTTATAAGTAGACTGTGACTCAGTAGGATCAATGATTATTTGTCACATGTTGACCRCCTTTGGTCTCCCTCAGCTCGCAACCAGGCTTTTGACGTGGTGCTGGTGGACACGGCTGGGCGGATGCAGGACAACGCCCCACTGATGACCGCTCTGGCCAAGCTCATCRCTGTCAACATGCCAGATTTGGTGCTGTTTGTTGGGGAAGCGTTGGTGGGCAACGAGGCAGTCGATCAGCTGGTAAGACCACCGATAGATGGCTTTGTAGGATGATGTTTATTCAGATTCAGTGGGTTTTTTTTATGGATCATTAATCAGTTAGTGTCAGTAAGAATTTATGTTCAAAAATATTAATGACAGGTAGACARAGTGACTTCAGGACAGAGTTTAATGAAGGACTTGGTCCCAGAATTTGTTGTCATAAAACAAAACTTTGCATCTCCTTTTGGCATTAACAAAACCAAAAACTTTTAATTTAAATAGTCTAATTAATACAACCTAAATCTCTTGGTTTAATGCAGGAGTGTCCAACTGTTACACAAGGGGCCAAAATTGTAAACCTAGTCCAAACCAAGCGCCATTTTCTGTCAGCAGTTATTGAAAACATTTTTTTAGTAAATTATTCTCATAACGTTTTCTAACGTTTAACTCGATKCTAGTGACAAAAAGAGAAACTATAAACCTGTTTCATTTTTAACGTAAGATCTTAGGGGCCAGAATAAATGTTAACGAGGGCCAGATTTGGCCCACTGGCCTTGAGTTTGACACGTGGTTTAGTGTTTTGGTTTGGCAGTCAATGAAGGTTTTAAAATGCTGCATTAATTAGGATTAAAACCTCCTCAGTGTGGGTAAACACAGACAGTTTTTGAAGATATGTTTTTAATTCATTATTTACTGTTTAACCAAGTGGTCTGCAACATCACATGAGTGGCAAGCTAAAATAAAACAAACATTGAAATACAAAGGAAATACAAGAACAAAGCAAGGTTAGAATAGTTTTAAATTTTTCAYAATAGTTTAGTTTTATTTCCTTGACTTCTTTTCTTTTAATTCAGTTTMGTTTTAATTAGTTTTTAGAGTGAATTTGCTAGTTTTTWTTWRSCC